ACAGTATTATGATCGCCTTATCACTGGGGAAGAGGTATTCAAGAGAGATTTTGGATCATACGTTGAAGAGATTCAGTTGACTGGAGGTAAATATCTGTACTACATTGTTTATTATACACATATTATATAAAACTCAGCCTTTAAGTATGCCATTAAGAGTGAGTATACGTGTATATAGCAGTCACCTAAATCTGCATTCCTCTCATCCTATGACACAAAGACTATGTCTAGAAGGAGTTACTAATCTTCCCTGGTGAATAATTATATGATATCCAATGTTTTGCTTCAATCTATACTTCATATGATGTTATTTATTATTAGAAGTCCTGCACAAGGTCCAGCAGTTGCACAAAACATGGCTTGATAAACTCAATGAATTAAAAGCAAGGTTATCTGAGTTCTCAGTCCTTTTTGCCATCAACAAGGTTAACACCAAAAAGTCAACAAAGCCAAAGACAAAGATATCTAAGACTGACCTTGAAGAATCATTGTCTGACTATGCAGCAGAAATAAATTATGGATTCTTTGTCAAGGTACTGTAGGTAAAAAACTATGGTGCTGCATGCCAAAATGAAATAATTAAGTCTGTATTTGCTGTTCAGGTGTACACAGGCTGGAGGGATATTGCTAAAATTATGAGATCCTCTACTTTTGACAAGGATGAGCAACACAAAATTGACTTATATGATTTGCAGGTTTGTATCCATGCATGATCTTAAAACAGGCTTATTAATCTATAACTCTTTCCATGTAGCAAGAGAGCATATACTGATACCCTTAACTTTTCCAATTGTTTTGAAAATGTAAACCTTATATTTGTATAGTTCAATAAACTAGCAATACTTTACTTTATTCTGTTTTTTTAGTGCAAGGAGTGGGGCTTCCTACTAAGAGAAGTGTTTGGTATGCTCCTAGGAACAGGAGATTATGGTCACATGACAATAGAGCATACAAGTATGTTATTCCGCGTGTTTGGAAGCCTGAGAGAGTATTCTAATCAATCCATAGAATCGTCTCACTCCCTTCAAAGACAGCTTTATTCAAAAGCTACATCTCATGACAGACATGGCTATGGATCTTCAAGTAAGTAGTTTGTACTTTTTGTTGTTACAAACAAGTTTCACATCTTCATCATATTTTCTCAACAGTAAGACAGTTGGTTGTGCACTTCTACTCAGAAAGAATGCTCTTTTTGAGACTTATGTTTAGAAAAGCTTTAGAGTGTTACAAAAAAGGTATTTATCTTCTGTCTTTATCGTGATAAAATTAATGTTATAAATTTAGATTATTGAGTTTTTTTCACTGATGTGGCAGATATCAAAATTTCCTGCTAAAATTAATATTAAAATCTTACTTTGCCCTTGTAAAATTCAAGAAACCAAAAATGTACAGCAGTTATTGCTTCTTAATTTACACTGTGAATTATTTTTTTACTTTTTCAGGCAAAGTGTTTCACTTCCCAGGCTGTGGCTGGTCTACAATAGTTGCAGACGAGGTTAAGTGGTCCGAATCTGATATTGTATGGATTGAACAGATGGATGGCTTACTAACAAAAATGTTTGGTGATGATTATCTTGAGTATGAATGTGATAAAGTGACAAAGACCATTGATGTGGCCCCCTCCAGCTTTCCAGATTATGTTTACTGTCATGAATTGTGGGAAGATACCAAACCATCAACTGACCCAGGACATGACCCAGAGTGCACTGACCAATCTCAGTCTGATAGCCCTGCTGGTAACCTTAAAGAAAATGATGACAACCAGAAATCTCCATCAGGTAGTCAACCTGCTAGCCCAGTTGTCAAAAATATAAACAACAGTTCCAGTCAGTCACCATCAAAAAGCAAACCACTAATCAGTCAGATACCAGTAAAAGTGAATCTGCCCTCCACACCAAAGATACTTAATGTTCAAACTACTGAAACATATCCTGATCTCAGGAAATGCAACAACCATAACCTAACACGGCGTCAGCTCTCCGATATGAAACTTCCTCCAGTGGTCAACCTGTCACACGCTGATCTGGAAGTTGTAAATAGTCCTTTAAGAATAAGCAACCCATTGTTGATTGGAGTAAGACCATCGTCTTCAATTGTAAAAATTTGTAAAGAAATGCTTTCTACCCCTACAAATCATGTACAGATATATGATGATGATAGTGATTCTGGTGAAGATTGTGATGATGCAGTTCAACTTGGTGGACTTGGAACTTTCAACAGGCAGGCTTTAAACATCTGGGAGAGAGCATCAGAAGTATCAGCTGTTAGTGTACGAGTTAAAGAAGAACTTAAGTGGCTTAGTGATAGCAAAACTATTCTAACTAATGACAGAATCAAATCAATGGAGAAAGAATTGCTTGATGCCAGGCCTGTCGAGAAAATAATTTCAGCTGGAGAAATTATAGTAGATGTCAACGACTTGACAACATTGGTCGATGAGAGATATCTAACTGGATTTGTTATCGATGCAGCCTGTCTTAAATACAAAGCATTGTCTGCAAAGGGAGCATACACTGCTTACCTACCAACATTCTTTCAAGAATGGTCTAAATCCCAGGACAGCAAATTTTTAGAAGATAAAGTATCAAAATATGTTGATAAAAGCAATATCAATGATGTTTCCTGGATTCTTACACCCCAACATGTGTCTGGTGTCCACTGGGGACTAATCGCCATAAATGTGAACACGTCAAAGATTTTCTATGATGATGGACTTCATTGGAAACCACCAACTGGTATGTTACCCTCAGTCAAGAAGCTTCTCAAGTGCCTCTATTCCATATCTGGTCATGCCAATCAATTTAATCCCAAAACCTGGAAGATACTTTCACCAGCACAGCGTTTTGGTATGCCAAGACAGCCAAAAGGGAGTGGAAGCTGCGGCATGGGTGTGATTTTGTCCTTTAAGGACATCATGAATGGACCAATTGACTCCATCCCACGATTTGATTGGTCATTCAATGAAATGCACAAGCATCGTCTTAAGGTAATGGATGACTTTATCACCTGGAAATACCAGTGAAGTACACACACAGGTGACTTATTCATCAAAAGAAAAGACATTAGCTCAAAAGATGAGAGTAAAAGTAATATATTTGTTACATAATCCTAGATAACATGTATATAATATTTTGATGACAAAAATATGTTAGAAACCAACACTGTTCAAAGCCTTTCTTCCTGTTTGTGCTTCAAAATCTCATGAAATTCTAGGCTATGACAATCAGAAATCTATCATTCATTCTAAGCAATATTCAAGTTCAATGATGAAATTCAAAGTGACATTCGATATTCTAAAACAATTGGTATATAACACACACTATGATTTGCCAAAAATTGTATTTTRTTGTTAATATCAAGCATGCTTGCACCATCATTGCTTTTCTGGATTGCATTTTCATTGATAAAAATTAACATTAACATTTTTAATTAAAGAAAACAAGTTAGAAAACTAAATTTGATTATTTTTTGAGGTCGTACAAAATGCTTATAGTGTGTACTAGCTTTATTTTCTGATTGTCTTCAAAATTTTATGTACAATTTTCATCGATTACACTCATTTTCCTCTGCCTGTGATAGGAATTGTACTATTAAATACTATTACCCCCTATTAACTTATGACATGTGACAAACTTTGTCAAACACAGGTTTGATTTTGCCTTTTGTTAGCCTACTACACCTTCATAGTTACCACCAAACACTGACTGGTAGTAATCGTTTCACAGACGGATGTGTATGACTCTAAAACTGGTCTGTCAAGTTCGAATAGGTAATAGCACAATTTCTAGTGGTATTTACGATAAATACCATGCGTGAGATTTCAAAATTGTCAAACAATCACAAGTGGTATTTATTCCAAATTCYACGTCCATACCATGCTATTAATGATTGTTTATAATATGTGAAAATTGTGCAATTTGAAATGCCACTATTCAAAGGATAAATACTATTAGCCAATCATATTGCACAATTTTATTCTGACCATATTATAAAAGGTTAAACATTATAAGTTTAGTTCATTATTCCCTAAAAAGGAAATTACTATCTACTTGAAAAAAATAAACGTTAGATAAGACATAAGTTAAAAGGCCACAGAAAATACTCAATCTCTGATATTTCTGAACAGTTCAAAGGGTCTTGTGCTGTCGGCAGTCATTCCGTTCAAAAACAGACATCCAAATGTCGTATTCATAGCTACTTTCTTAAGAAACTTAAACATCTATACTAGTTTTAAGAATATAATGTACCTTAAATTGGCTTGAACTTCATGGAAAGACATTCTAACCTTGCCCTTTCGTGACGTGTTTGTACAAATTACGACTAAGATTCTTTCTATTNGGAAATTACTATCTACTTGAAAAAAATAAACGTTAGATAAGACATAAAAGGCCACAGAAAATACTCAATCTCTGATATTTCTGAACAGTTCAAAGGGTCTTGTGCTGTCGGCAGTCATTCCGTTCAAAAACAGACATCCAAATGTCGTATTCATAGCTACTTTCTTAAGAAACTTAAACATCTATACTAGTTTTAAGAATATAATGTACCTTAAATTGGCTTGAACTTCATGGAAAGACATTCTAACCTTGCCCTTTCGTGACGTGTTTGTACAAATTACGACTAAGATTCTTTCTATTCTTGAAAAATTGTTGAAAAGTTGGTTTGGTTTCTTCAGAAATAAGGATAAAACACGTTGGCATTCATATATAGTGTTTTCACCAGCTTTTGATGTTGTTTTTGGTGGATTTGGTCAAACCATCCGCCATTTTTTTTTCTTGTGTTCAGACGCTATTTTTTGATTGGACAATGACGTACGCAATGAGAATTGCTAGTTTCATCAGCATATAAATAAACAATTATGATACAAATTGAATAAAAGAATGCTAGGTTGATTTAGAAAAGAACTATAAAACGGATTTTAATTTTGATCACGCTCTAATCAAAAACAATTGGGATGTAGGGAGAACACCCGAGAAGCTCAAAAGCGCTTCGCATCGTGGTTGCAGTCGCTTCTCTGGTGTTCTCCCTACATCCGCGTGTTTTTAGTTTATAAAAAGCAATAAATAATATTGTATGAAAGCTATGATACGCAATTAAATAGCAAAATGACAAAAAAAATGTCATTTTGATAACAAACGTTGTAGACTCTGGAAACTATTATTCTATTATATAAAAAGTATAATGTAATGTTAATATAGAAGCGATTGATTTAAAGAGACGTTTTTTGTAAGAAATATCGAATTGTCAGATGGCCATTTTTCGATGAAAATACATTTGGCCACCAAATCAATTCAAGTTCACGGGTCAAACGTCCCTGGCCTTCTTCTACGACCATGTTAACATGGAAAGTGGCTCTTGTCTCTGCTTTACTAGTACTCCAAACGTTACGTTCCTCCGCAGCTTGAATCTCGTCTTCTATAGAGMTATGTGGACGCTGGATTTCTTTGGTCCCTGAAAAAAGTGCTGAACGCTTGACTTTTACATGCGTTTGCTCATTGATGCATTTCAAAAAGTCTTCAATATCATACATTTTGTATYAAATTCTCTTAGCAGTATGGTGATACACTGGAGGTCGTTTGTGTGAAGCAAACCGAATATTGTCCACTTTGGCGCATAGTCGACTGAGGAAATGTTGAAAGTAAGCTTCAGGAACTTGCGTAAGGTCCACTCTACTCCAGCCTCCTAAAAATTATGGCAGAAATCAATAATGGCTTGACTTTGTGACAGAATGCATCTCTCGTAACCAGATGTACAGGATAACCATTTGAAACCCACATTTCAAAATGATATATAATTTCTATTGATATTAGGCTGTATTTGAGTCGGATGCAATTTCAACTTTTCTTATGAAGTTTTTATACTATATACTATATATTGACTGGCATCCTAAGTACTCATGGATCAAATTTCGCGTGTGGTATTTGTATTTGGTATTTGTTTACCAAAATGGCGTGGTCCAGTCTGTAGCTCTAAAACGACTAAGTATTTTGTAGTTCCTCTATATTTTAAAAGAATATGTATGCAAATATAATCGTATGAGGAAGTAGCTGATCCCATTATTGAGTGCTCAATACGGCATATAGTGTAGAGCTAGTTATATATGTGATATCAAAGAGGCAAGATTTTGAGTGCTGTAACTCCGAGTTACAGCAAAATCTTGCCTCTTTGATATCACATGTATGCAAACATAAAAATGTTATCACATATTCCTCTTACAGCGAAGCGTAAACGCCAATTTCGGCTCATTAACGATTCCATTCGGCTTACCTGGTAAATTTGGATGAAATGATGCGTTTATTTGTTCTGCAACACCAACAATCCATAGAGTGTAACCACTGTATTCTACTGAATTGACGGTCAACGTTGTTTTGGGTGGTATCTCGATGTAAGTTTTGTCGGTGCCATTCATGAATTGTAGTTTGTCTTCATCCAACATTTGATGCGAGTGCTGAACTTCCCAGTGTTTCTTGAGCGCACGAAGACTTTTAAAGGTTTTCTTGCAGCTATAACACGCCAGTGTACACGACATGGTGAATTGCTTTTCTGTCTTAGTACAGTATAAAGAACTAGAATTACGAAGCGATTATATTGCAGTTTACACGCGGTAGAGAAGTCTCTGTGACCGGAAGCTAGTAACATGAGTAGTACGACGTCACATTTAGACAAATCCTCTGAGGACCTGTGCATTTAAGAAAGCATCTAAAGAACGTGGTATTTTAATTAAATCTTTTGTTAGGAAGTATGCGTGCGCATGCTTGCACAGTGGACGGAAGTTCAAAGTTATCCCACATTGAAGATTAGACGATCCTGTTGTCACTTAAAAGACATGTTTTATACACTGTGTAGCAGCTTGGCCAAAGCTAGGGGTTATCATGTGCGCGGCGGCGTGTGAATGGTCTTGGGGCCGGTAATTCCCTCCCATGCAACCAAGCAAGCCACCGTGAGTTCCTTGATAAACAAAGACCTATTTATAGGCGCCCCGACGTTCAAGGAATGCCCGTACGCTAGTACTCGNTGTAAAATATTCGGTGCCTGCTATTTTTCGAATGTTTGGCATACACTGATTTCGTTTTCTGCTATATTTTTTTTACTTTTACTTTTATTAAGAAATAAATGTATTTATGGGGTGCACATGTCCTAAAATTTAATTGTTGTAAATTTTGCTGCTGGTAAATCAGTAGCCTTTTAGAAAATTGCAATAAACTAACGTCAGAAAAAATCTTACGAGCTTGTACACCAACTCCGTGCGCAGGGCCATATATTTTTAAAAGTGTACCTATGTTACAGAAAGAAATAAAACGTCCAGCAAATCGTAATTGATGACATGTTTTCAACAGTTCCCGCTGAGAAAAAGCAAGGGATTAACTTGTCTTTGGTGTCGTTAATCCCCCACAAAAATGYAAAGAACGCGACTTTCAAAGACAACAGTGACTATAACTTTTAATTGCGGCTTGTTATGAAAGCAACCATTGTTATAAAAAATGTACATTAGCAGCTTTTGATAGCTATATACTTAGTACAAACTCCATAAAAATTATACAGCATTAAGCACTATTTGACCCTATTTGGTGGTAGTGTTGATAATACAAAAAAGTTAATGATTAATATATGATCTAGACCAATTTGGCATCAATATTTCAATGCTTGGTACTTTTAGTGCATTCCAAACTACTAAATTGCACTATAATTGCTGTCTGTTTCCACCATTATTCTGTTTCTTAATTTTTTCATAGTTCAGTGATAAAATTTCAAAAATTATAATTCATTTGTGTTTAGGCTTATCAAACACTGATCATGATAAAAAAAAATAATAATAATAATTAATTTATAAACGATGAAGTAATTTCAGAATTCAATCCAGTGTTCTATAATGAATTTAAAAATTAATAAAGAAATATTTCAAAATGAGTCCACTTTACTTTATTGACATGAAAAGAAATACAAATCTATTATTATCAAACTTAAAATCCATTCAGTGATTCAAGAATGTCCTCGTGCTCTTCAATAGATAATGTGTACAGATTGTTTTCTTTATCAAATAGCTTAACTTCCTTACAAATGAAGGTAATTGTGGCTGAGTAAACAATAGAACTTTTTCTTTCAATTAGTTTGAAAAGTAATAGTCCATCCTCATTACTTGTTTCCTGGCTTTCAAAGAATTGACCTTTTACTACTTTTGATCCTGCTGTATAGACTGCTCCCCAATCATCCTTTTCTCTTGATGGTAATGTAGAGCTACATTCTGTGATCTTGGAAAGATAGTAATCCTTTCCCTTATCCCCAGAAGCTATTGAAACTACTGCATCGATGAAAACTATGTCATAGATATGTTCAGATTCCTCCTCCTCAACTGGCGTAGATCTTGTACTTCTCCGCCCATGCTGTTCATGCTCCATTTGAAATGTTGTCCAGCAGCTAACGTAATCTTTTCTTAGGCAATTAGAATAATCTTCGGACAAGCAACATCTGCAATAACAAGTTAGTTTACGAGTGGAAATTTTTAAGTTCTCCTTATCAGACAGTACACTGTTTCGGGAATCCGGTTTTAAGATCCACAAAAATCTAAGAATTTTAAACATCGCTTACTGCTTGGATGGAGAAGAAAAAGCTGAAACTTTAATTGAGATTTTTAAGTACAATTTTAATTCGATAAAAGTCGATTATACAGGAGTGAAGTTGTCATACGATGATGAAGAATTGCTTTTCAATTGTCATGAAGATTGTTTTTCAAGAACTATTAGTTTCAGCGAATATTCGGATGAGTTTATATTTTAGTTTAGGAATCTAAATTTAAATTTACTAGCTTTTCCTTTGTAATTTTTCATTACTGCAAGTAAATACATAATTTATACATATTTGTCTGTCTTTTGTATATGGTTCCGACTGATGTAGTTTCTATCTCATACTGTATTTCTAATTTTCTCTGGTATTCCCGATTGATTACTGGTTTGGCATCGAACATGCATATATTGAAGAGCCGTTGCTTATAGATTGACATAGCGACTTGTAGCTGAGCGGCTGATTGTTACTAGACAGGCATCATATCTCTTTCATAATGGTAGCTTAGTAATGTACAATGTCTGCACTATCTGATCTTTCAGTACTCTAGTTTTGTTTTGTTAGGCTTTATTTAGCCTCAATGCCCCGATTTCGAGTTCTGATTTGTGTTAAACCATATATTATTTTGTTTCATTGATAGCTCGAGAAAGCGCATGGTATTTGAAAAGAAAGACAACAGAATAGATTTTAAATCTCACACTTTTATTCATCGAATAATTCACAGAGCATCGGAGAATTTGAAACTGGATTATAGTGTGTAAAATATTCATAATTAACGACAAAGTCTGGTCAGTCTGTGGTATTCATAATACTACTTTAATTGTCTTCTTCGCACGCATGACTTGCATATCCACAAAGATGCATATGTTATATCATTCTGAAGTTTAGCCTGAGCAAATACAACTGGGTATGTTCTATAGTCTATCTTCCACATTTCTCTGTCTTCCTATCTGCACATCTACAACCTGGAATCCTATTGAAAGACAATAAATCAGTGAATATTAGAAAAGTGACTGGACATTGTATTTGTTTTACAGAAGAATGACAGTTTTCGAACAATCAATTTATCAATTTATTATAATAGTCCCTTCTATCAAAATCCAAGTTCGATGTTGGACGGTCTTACTACATTCAGTCTAATTTTTACGAGTTCTTCAAAATTCTTCTCTGCTTGTGGTCAACTAAGCAGACATGTCACGCAGTGCACGAAGGGAGCCGTTTACGTGCGCTTTTGACGGCACGGTGATGCACGAAATGAGGCACACATGTTCTGGCTACGCATCAAATTAGCCAACATCGAGCGCTGCATTGACTGTAGAGAGCACGATAAAGAACGGAATGAGCCACACATTAGCGATGCTTGGGCGCGAAAATGCATGTAATCGTGCAGTGATTATTTTTCGTAAATGTTTTAACCGTTCTGACGTTAGTTTTCTTTACTTTCTCATCGCAAGTTTTAACTTTTTTAAATTGAAAATCTCCAAAAATGTAGCGAATTTCATGTGCATCTCCGAAATGTATAAATTTTCAAGTAAGTTAGAAAGAATATATGATTTATAGTGGATGTAAAATATTCGGTCCCTGCTATTTTTCGAATGTTTGGCATACACTGATTTCGTTTTCTGCTATATTTTTTTTACTTTTACTTTTATTAAGAAATAAATGTATTTATGGGGTGCACATGTCCTAAAATTTAATTGTTGTAAATTTTGCTGCTGGTAAATCAGTAGCCTTTTAGAAAATTGCAATAAACTAACGTCAGAAAAAATCTTACGAGCTTGTACACCAACTCCGTGCGCAGGGCCATATATTTTTAAAAGTGTACCTATGTTACAGAAAGAAATAAAACGTCCAGCAAATCGTAATTGATGACATGTTTTCAACAGTTCCCGCTGAGAAAAAGCAAGGGATTAACTTGTCTTTGGTGTCGTTAATCCCCCACAAAAATGCAAAGAACGCGACTTTCAAAGACAACAGTGACT